TTCCCTTGGTATCTCTAATTTTCTTGAAGAGATCTCTAGTCTTTCCCATTCTGTTGTTTTCCTCTATTTCTTTGCATTGATAGCTGAGGAAGGCTTTCTTATCTCTCCTTGCTATTCTTTGGAACTCTGCATTCAAATGGGAATATCTTTCCTTTTCTCCTTTGCTTTTTAGTTCTCTTCTTTTCACAGCTATTTGTAAGGCCTCCTCAGACAGCCGTTTTGCTTTTTTGCATTTCTTTTTCCTGGGAATGGTCTTGATCCCTGTCTCCTGTACAATGTCATGAACCTCTGTCCATAGTTCATCAGGCACTCTGTCTATCAGATCTAGTCCCTTAAATCTACTTCTCACTTCCACTGTATAGTCATAAGGGATTTGATTTAGGTCATACCTGAATGGTCTAGTGGTTTTCCCTACTTTCTTCAATTTCAGTCTGAATTTAGCAATAATGAGATCATGATCTGAGCCATAGTCAGCTCCCGGTCTTGTTTTTGCTGACTGTATAGAGTTTCTCCATCTTTGGCTGCAAAGAATATAATCAATCTGATATCAGTGTTGACCATCTAGTGATGTCCATGTGTAGTCTTCTCTTGTGCTGTTGGAAGAGGGTGTTTGGTATGACAAGTGTGTTTTCTTGGCAAAACTCTATTAGACTTTGCTCTGCTTCATTCCATATTCCAAGTCCAAATTTGCCTGTTATCCAGGTGTTTCTTGACTTCCTACTTTTGCATTCTAGTTCCCTATAATGAAAAGGACATCTTTTTTGGGTGTTAGTTCTAAAAGGTCTTGCAGGTCTTCATAGAACCATTCAACTTTAGCCTCTTCAGTGTTACTTGGATTACTGTGATATTGAATGGTTTGCCTTGGAAACGAAAAGAGATCATTCTGTCATTTTTGAAATTCATCCAAGTACTGCATTTTGGACTCTTGTTGACCATGATGGCTATTCCATTTCTTCTATGAGATTCCTGCCCACAGTAGTAGATATAATGGTCATCTGAGTTAAAGTCACCCATTCATGTCCACTTTAGTTCACTGATTCCTAGAGTGTCGACATTCAGTCTTGCCATCTCCTGTTTGACCACTTCCAATTTGCCTTGATTCATGGACCTAACATTCTAGGTTCCTATGCAATATTGCTCTTTACAGCATCGGACCTTGCTTCTATCACCAGTCACATCCACACCTGGGTATTGTTTTTGCTTTGGCTCTACCCTTCATTTTTTCTGGAGTTATTTCTCCACTGATCTCCAGTAGCATATTGGGCACCTGCCGACCTGGGGAGTTCCTCTTTCAGTATCCTATCATTTTGCCTTTTCATACTGTTCATGGGGTTCTCAAGGCAAGAATACTAAAGAGGTTAGCCATTCCCTTCGCCAATGGACCACATTCTGTCAGACCTCTCCACCATGTCCCGTCTGTCTTGGGTGGCCCCACACGGCATGGCTTAGTTTCACTGAGTTAGACAAGGCTGTGTTCCATGTGATCAGATGGGCTAGTTTTCTGTGATTATGGTTCAAAGTGATTATGGATCAAAGTCCTATACATATCTCAAATTCAAAATGTGTAAAACTGAAACTATTCTTTTGATATTATAACCTGAATCTTTCCTCAATTCTCAAATTGGGTATGATACAATTTATGATTTAGTCACAAGGAGATGCCTGCTTCCTAAAAAAAATGTGTTTTTTTTTAATCTTTTTTTTTCTTTTTTTTTATTAGTTGGAGGCTAATTACTTTACAATATTGTAGTGGGTTTTGTCATACATTGACATTAATCAGCCATGGATTTTTTTTAAAGCTAAAGTTTATTATTAGTTTTGGCCACATGGTATGTGGGATCTTTATTCCTGGCCAGGGATAGAACCCATGGCTCCTGCATTAGAAATGCAGAGTCTTGACCATTGGACCTCCAGGGAAGACTCTAAAATTTTTCTTTTTTTTTCATAACTCACATGTAGTCAGTCACTTAAGCCCTATTCATTTTAATTCTAAAATGTTTCCCAAATCAGTCCATGATGACTAATCCATCACTAAGTTCACTTCACTCTCCCAGGCCCTTATCATCTCTTGTTGGAACACAACAATATGTTTTAAATTTGAGTCTTGCTTTCCAATAGTGCCCTCTATGTTGCCATCAGCACCAACTTCCAAAATTGAAATATTCTAGATAGACTACTGCCTATAGGATGAAGGCTAAAATTGAAGGGAGAAACAGACAAGTAAAGTATAATACTTGGAGAGTTCAATATCAAATTTTTTATAATGGCTACAACACCTAAATAGAAAAACAGTAGAATAAAGAAGACAAACAATATTATAAACCATAAAACATCCTCCAGGATACACCATTATCCTAGGTCATAAAAAAGTCATTCAATTCTGAGATCACAGGAAGTATATTTTCTGACTACAGTGAAATTAATTCAAAATCAATAGTAGAAGGAAATTTAAGAAATACACAAATATTTGGAAAACACATTTTATTAAATATTTATAATATTTATAAAGTATTAAAAACACATTTTAAGATAACCCATGGGTCAAAAGAGAAATCACAATGGGAACTTAGAAAGTATTTCTAGTTGAATGAAAATGAAACCATATCAACATTTTTTGATTAAAGTTGAAAACAATTACGTTAGAAAAAAAGTAAAATCTGAAATTAATAATCTAAATTTTCATTTTAAGGATCTAGAAAACAAAGAGCAAACTAAATCCAATGTAAACTGAAAGAAGGAAATAATAGAGATTAGAAGTGAAATCAATAAAATGGAAAGCAGAAAATCAGTAGGGAAAATTGATGTTGGCTCTTTGGAAAGATCAACAAAATTGTCAAACTCTTAGCTAGACTATCCAAATAAAAAGATATAAGACAGATCAAAATCAGGAGACCAACACTAACTTTACAGAAACTAACAGGATTATAAAGAAATACTACGAATAACCTCACGTCAACCAATTAGACAATTTAGATGAAATGGGCAAATTCCTAGAAAGGGCACAAATTACCAAAACAGCTCAACAGAAAGAAGGCTAAAACTCTAACGCCTGATTTAAGGTTCTAGTCTTGGCAGCCTTCCTTTTCATCTTGTTTTCTGCAACTTTATGACATGGAGTTTATATCTTGCTGCTGCTACTGCTAAGTCGCTTCAGTCACGTCTGACTCTGTGCGACCCCATATCCTAGCCATAGAAAAATTCTTGCTAGTTCCCTAACCATGTGATTTTGCATGATTTTATGCTTTTTCATGCACTGCTTTCCTCATCTAGGATTTTTTTTTTAATGAAGAATTTCTACACACCTGATAAAGTTTTCTCTGATCCTTTTCTTGGCAAACTTAGCTTTTCCCTCCTTTAGAATCTTAGTGAAAACATTTTTATTATTATAACACAACCACATAGCCATTATGAGGACTTGTTAACATGCAAGCCTTTTTACTAGACTGTGAACTTTTAGAGGATGTTGTCACTTTTATATTTCTAATAGCTTATGTATATCATCCTTCATTTTTATATTTTTAATAGCTTATGTATATTAGGCACTCAGTAAGGTCCACTGCACAAATTGATGCATTCTTGAGGACTGGGCCCTTATCTCTTGTTCTTTAGTATATCTGCACAACTTTAAATATACTCTCAGCAATTCTCATATATGAATCAAAAATTTCACCAGGAGCAACTCACCATACAGGGGCAAGTTGTTTAGCAGGTCTTTATGTTCTTCTTCTTCAATCTTAAAGCCCATATTTTCCAGGAAGCAGTCCAGCTTATCAACATTAAGATCCACTCCTTAGGTAAAAATAAAATGGGAATGAGAAAAACAAACAATAACGACAAAGTAAAAAGTACTAGACATATCCATGCATTAATTAGAGAGTGAAAAATCAAAGGAACAATAAAGTTATTTAAGAATCAAGACCAGAACTTATTCCTTATTTTTGTCCAGAGGATTTGATTATAGTTTTTATGCAACATTTATAAGGAAGGAACTAAAAAATTAGGCAAGTCTGGTGAATTCTGGTAAGAAACTGCCTTTATAGTTATATTCAGAAAATAGAACTTGAAATGCAATGATAGAAACAAACATAATTTCTTCAAAGCTAGTTATGTTCAAAGCAGTAAACAATGAAACAAAAACACTTAATAAATGAACATGTTAGACTGACAAATTTGTCACCACCAAAAAATAAATGTGATTTTTCACAAAAGGAAGTGCAAAACGTGAGGAGTCTCAATTTTATCTGCGTTTTCGCTCACCTTTGAGAGACTTTATGCCATCCAGCAGCTTATGTTTGTACAGCTTTCCGGCAGCTGGAACATAAGGAACAATACAGTAATTGATGAAATCAGCTGAAATTATTCAAAATCCTGGCAATTTAAAAAAAAACATTCTTATAATTTTACTCATTTTTTCTATTTATATGCCAACTAAGCGACAAATGGGGAAAAACTCTTAAGATAGTAAATCGACTCACTTTTTTTTTGACAAATGAAAAAATTATTAGTGGTACATTGCCACACCTTTCTCATCTCTCACTCTCTTTTTTGATTTAATTTTTCCTTTTCTACTCCTCTGCTTAAGCTCAAGCATATTAATGTTCCCAAGGATAGCATCAGATATTGTGAGACTCATGAATGAATGAATTGTAGCTGATTCCTGAGCTAAAACAACTGATGATGACAGGTTGTCTTTGAATGGTAGTATTGAACATTTCTCCATATTTTCAGGTGACATCACATGGATATTGTTTTAGATATTTTCATTGACAAGCCAATGAGAATAAACTCTTCTGCAAAGAAATCCCTTAATGAAATGTCATCTGTTATCATCACAGGCTTCATATTTTACAGAAATTCAAAGATTGATTTCTATTTTAGATGGGGAACTAGCATGAATATTTGACTCCCTCTCCAGAAATCAGCCCTGGAAAAAAACTGAAAGAAGAGTGAAAACTTATGAAAAGCCACAGCAAAATCTCTTGGAAAATGGAAAACTGTACTGGTGTGTGTATGTGGTTTCACAGCCTACACTGGAAGGCCTACTAGAGGTGCCAGTTAAAGGACCAATGGGATAAATATTAAAAATGTCTGTCCTTGTCTTTATTATGATTCTTAAGTTATCATTGTCTACCCCTTTCACCACAGAAAGCAGCAGGAAAAGCCTAGACTGCAGGTGAGGGATCTAGACGGTACTATCAGGGCAGTACATAGACTTACAGACTTGAGGAGAGAGGATCTAATGTAAACAGGTGAAGATGGACAATCTGCCTTTAGGTATTTAATCATCCTCTTCTCTTCTCAACCTTGAGAGCTGATGAATTGCAATCTAGATAGACTTTCTTCCAATTTTGTTTCTTTCTGAGTCTAAAGGTGAAACTCTGACCAGAGGTGCTGCTTAAAAGTGTCAGCTTGGGAAATGATCAACAATGTCTGGGTCTCTCTGCCCTGGGGTTCATCCATTCCCTTCTCTTTAAACCCAACAGAGGCTGATACAGACTGGAGCCTAACCTTAGACCCTTACTGAAGGTGCATTTCCAAACACGTAAAGATACTCCAAGAGAGAAAGAACTTATGGGACTAAAGTAAGTGGCCATCTGAGATGTACAACTACTTCAAAAGAAAACAAACTGGATAACATATACCATTTGAATCAGAATTGTTGGAATAAAAGGACCAGGAATTTAAAGTAAGTGTGGCAAATATACTTAAGGAAAGAAGATATTAGATAATATAATAAGAAAGTATAAAATGAATCAATGGAAATACTAGTTATAAAAGATTAGGTATAAAACATTTAAATACAGAAATATAGTAGGTGAGATAGAGTACAATGAAAAGAGCTGAAATATTAATTAGTGGGCTGTCCAACCAGATTGAGGAACCCTCAGAAGGTAACAAGGAAGGATAAAAAGGTAGAAAATGGAAAGTTACAAGATAAGAGTATAGAAGTAAGAGTGCTAATCTTTGGGTAATGGGCACTCCAAAAGAAGAGAAAATAAAAATAGCGAAGGGAAATTATTTAAAGAAGTAATGAGTTAAAATTTCCAGGATCAGAGAGAGATTAGACCTTACATTAGAAGGGCTCATACAGGTTAAAATAGAGGAGATAAAAAAAAGTCCCAACCTGAATACATAATCAGTTCAGTTCAGTTCAGTCACTCAGTCATGTTCAACTCTTTGCAGCCCCATGAACTGCAGCACGCCAGGCCTCCCTGTCCATCACCAACTCCCGGAGCCTACCCAAACCCATGCCCATTGAGTCGGTGATGCCATCCAACCATCTCATCCTCTGTCATCCCCTTCTCCTGTCCTCAATCTTTCCCAGCATCAGGGTCTTTTCAAATGAGTCAGCT